TATGTGCGTGTGTGTGTGTATGTGTGTGTGTGCGCGCGCGTGTGTGTGTGTGTGAGCGCGTGTGTGTGTGCGTGTATGTGCGTGTGTGTGTGTATGTGTGTGTGTGCGCGCGCGTGTGTGTGTGTGAGCGCGTGTGTGTGTGCGTGTATGTGCGTGTGCGTGCGTATGCGTGTGTGCGCGCGCGTGTGTGTGTGTGCGTGTGTGTGTGTGTGTGCGTGTGTGTTACGTATCATCATGTCGCTTTATCGAAACGGTAGGCCTATGCTTCGTTTTATTAGTTCATAATAGAATAATAATTTAATATATACCCCTACATGCTCATGATCTGATGTTTCCATATTCATTAATGTGTAATTATTTTTTATTTCTACTTTAGAATCTATTGTACCTTGTTATGTGGATCATACCTGTATATATTTCATTTCTCCTAATTTGAGTATTATCACGTTGTCTAAACAAAAGCCGATTGCTTTTTATTGTTCTTCATTGTGCATGTCTTTGTGTATCTATCACACTTGTTTAGTTCAATTAACCGTTCTATCTTCGCGCGTATTACGTTATTATATAACAAGTTGACGTGTGCGGAGGGACTGGCTGGAAGGCAGGATCGTTTCCTGCACTTAGAAATAATTGTGATATGAGAATATATTGGAAATACTGACGGCGTAATTAAATACTTTTCAATGTGAAATACAAAATAGGACCTATAGAAGATCTTGCTACCACGCAGTGTTTTGTAAAATCTCGGGTCATTGCCAGAGCCGTGCATGAAAGCTGGATACATTTATTTGCCCCTTCACAACGATAGATGGTAGCAGTGATCCGCATGTTCTGAAGTTGCAGTTTTGTTATATTCATAGAAATATATAGAGAATTATAAAAAATTATTTTGTAATATATATACTAGGCTAACTAGTATATTATTTGTATGGTTATATTTGCAATAATAAAGGAAATAAAATATAACAACATTTCCCACTCAAGAGGGGATTCGAACCTGTCACCTGTGTCTCTCTGTGTCCCGCCTCTACTGACTTGGCCATGGGGTGGGCGATGGTCCAGTGGGTAGAGGCGGGTTTGGTCAGTTTTAGCTTACTGGAGACTGAGAGGTCACGGGTTCGAATCCCCGAGGGTAAAATTATTATTTTTATTTTGTCCTTTTATTGCGGTTTCTAATGTTCCTGCTGCTATTCCAAGCTATCTAAGTAACCGAATAACAGAATAACATTAAATTTAATATCCAGTTATACTATTAAAAGGGCAAGATAAAACACAAAACAATTTTACCTCAGTTCGAATGCCAGTAAAGAATAATTATTTCACGTTTGATTTTTTCTTTTTTAACATTATAATTTCTAATGTTCCTATAACGTTCTTCTGAGCAACAGAATGAAACATTTTTTTACGTTTTATTTTTTCCCTTAATATTGTAATTTTGAATATTCATAATGTTTTACTCAATACACTTGAAAAATTGGACTTTCCACTTGGAACTAAAGTTGGGCATGCAGGACCCTATAGGAAGGAAATGGGACTGAAGTTTACCAGTGTTCAGCAAGATGGACAATGAAAGCAAGAGAAATGTTTCTCGCGACACAGGGTGGCTATTATTATTGCATACAGGTATGGACAGCATCGATCAGTAAGTCGCCAAGTAGCATCACATTTGCATTTCCGTAGTAACACTGTAACAAGTGCCGCAGAGCGACAGCGCTCAACTGACGTGTACTGTAACCAGGTATTCTTCTGATAAACTCACTGGCAACCGAATCAATAACATGCAGAAAAATGCATGATAGATTTACGGGTTTGATCGATATATTTGTTCGGTACGATATTTAAAATTCTGTAGTAGCAAATTTTCTTCACTTCATTAATGCCAGTCGACAACTCCTGCTCGGATTCGTTCAACAATCTTCGTTCGATTTCGGTCATTATGACGTCCTTCTTGTTCTCCCTCGCGCAGACGACGAAGGGGAAGTCGAACTTGTGTGTGTACGCATCGTTGGCGGTGCGCCGGCGTTGTCGCTCTGTGGATGTAAGAGTCAGCAGTCCCGCACTTTGCTGTTCGTGAATATGCTCCTCCGTCATCTCTCCTGCCTCGGCCAGCGATCCCACAATATCAGATTAAGCTAACTCGAGTTAAGCGTCTACACGGGCCTTAACTCCAGTTAAAGTAACTCGAGTTAGCCTAACCTCAATTGACTGGCGAGGTTAAGCCAACTAGAGTTAACGTAACTCGAGTTTCCTTAACTCGAGTTAAGGCCCCGTGTAGACGCTTAACTCGAGTTAAGGTTCGTCGTGTAGACGTAGCTTATTACTAATTACCTTTACCATCGATAGGAAAATATATTAGGACATTGCTAAAATTCGGTCTCAATCATTCGCAACGTAGGCCTGTAGTTTTACCTCGGTTTGACGTCGATAACAGGAGTAGTGTAACGCGGTGAAACTCCTCCTTTCTTCCATCCCGGCAACGTTGGGATTGGCACCGGCCTCCAGTAGCAGGCGCACGATGTCCAGCCGATGAGAGTGAACTGCGTAGTACAGGGAGGTCTCTCCGCACGAGTCCGCGGCGTTGGCGTCGGCGCCGTGTGAGAGCAGCATCTGCACCACCGCCTCCTCGTACCCCTTCGCCGCCGCCATTATCAGTGGCGTCACTCCGCTCTTATTATCGGCGACGTTTGGATCTGCACCGGCCTCCAGTAGCAGACGCATGATGTCCAGCTGGCCAAAGCAAGTCGCGTGGTACAGGAAGGTCCGTCCTTGTGAGTCCGCAACATTGGCGCCGGCGCCATGTGAGAGCAGCATCCGTGCCGCCGCCTCCTCACCCTCCCACAGCAGTTTATCATGGCGACGTTTGGATCTACGCCGGCCTCCAGTAGCAGGCACATGATGTCCAGCCGGCCAGAGCTAGCCGCGTGGTACAGGCAGGTCTGTCCGTGCGAGTCCGCGGCGTTGGCGTCTGCTCCGTGTGAGAGCAGCATACACACCGCCGCAATATCGCCCTCCAACACTGCCATCATCAGCGGCGTCTCATCGTTCTTATTAATGGCAACGTTTGGATCTGCACCGGCCTTCAGTAGCAGACGCATGATGTCCAGCCGGCCAAAGCAAGCCGCGTGGTACAGGGAGGTCTGTCCTTGCGAGTCTACAACGTTGGCGTCGGCGCCGTGGGAGAGCAGCATCTGCGCCGCCGCCTTCTCGCCTTCCCTCACCGCCTTCATCATGGCAACATTTGGGTCGGCGCCGGCCTTCAGTAGCAGACGCATAATGTCCAGCTGGCCAGAGCAAGCCGCGTGGTACAGGGTGGTCTGTCCGTGCGAGTCCGCAACGTTGGCGTTAGCGCCGTGTGAGAGCAGCATCCGCACCACCGCCTCCTCGCCTTCCCTCACCGCCTTCATCATGGCAACATTTGGGTCGGCGCCGGCCTCCAGTAGCAGGCGCATAATGTCCAGCCAACCAAAGTGAGCCGCGTAATTTTCATTCGACGAAGCTATGGACGATACGAGTGAGGATGTGATCGTAGATATAGAATACAGATCTGTATTCTGTACATCTGTATTCTATATCTATGATGTGATTCTATACGATAATCAGTAATCACGACATACATGCATACGTCTAGCGCGCGACACTAGCGCCGACTAACGTTGTTAATGTTATTCTCCAGTAATGTTATCTTCTTGTGTCTGGTGTGGCGCGAGGAAAAGGAAAGTGGCGCCATCTATAGGCATCGTGGCCTTACTTTCCTCGGCTGTGCAGAAGCCCGAAGCTCCGTCTCGGAAGCAGCGATACCCAATACTGACGTCTTCAGCATGCTTCATAGAAAAATTCAAAAATCCATATCATTTCTGACAAACAATCTACACCTTTCCAATTCTGTCATTTGAACAAAGGTCTGATTAATTGTCGTTTATCGACTGCGATGTGTAACAATCACACGTACGTATCACAATTACATTAATTACCTTGGGTTGATCAATTAATCAATTGATTAATCAAGTAATCACCAGAAACGAGTGTTTGATTATCATGATCATGATTGATCATAACTGTGTATTCTCGATAGTTATCTTATTAGATAGATATCGAACATTGTGTCCGTTTTTACAATCGCTGGGATGTATTAAGATTGCCTTTGTTCTGGCCTACTGTATAAGCTGTATATTTCGCGGTTTAATTTTCTCGAATTTCGCGAACGCGTCACCGACGCGAAAATAACAACACGCGAAGAATTCATAGCGAATAATACCGAATAATTCATAATTCACCGACCGGAAAATTAACCACTCACGAAGTCTGAATTCGCGAAAACATCTGTACGCGAAAAATATGGCGTATACAGCATTTAAAACATTCTCGACGTTGCTCGTGTTGTATAAGCATGGCAGCGAAGAAAAGAGTGGCAGTCCTGCGAAACGCTCGAGGAAGCTGGCTAGCAGATCTCCCGTGGTCGCTCAGCTAGACGTGACGGAGAGTGACGAGGAAACCTTCTACTACACTCCGCCGCAGAGCCGACCGCAGCTGATGCGGCTGCAGCACACAGACCTACCTGTCACGTTCAGTAATGTATCTGATGTTTATGTTTTCTACCACCAGGTGTCAGTAGTAGTACCACCACGGCCATAATGTAATGCAACGCAGAATAAATATTGTCCATTTTATCTACAATCATCTGCTTATCTATTCACCATAACCATCACCAGATGCGTGTGCTTGCCTTCTGAATGACACCGCGCGGTCGAGCGCTCACGAGCGCGCGTGAGTTGTTTTCAAGATGGCGACGGGCAATCTGGTGAATGCGAATCTAACACTTCTGACTTCAATTTCTCTCTGTTTCAACTTCATTTCATTTTTCAATCAATCATTCACTTCTGAGTTCAATTCATATAAATTTCGTCTGCTAATTCGTTTAACAGTATTCGTTCGAAGACATTAAAATCTCGCGATTAAATCTGCTGAGCAAGCCGCCATCTTGGATAAAGCCAGCGCTCGGTGCATAGTTCGGTGTCGTTCAAGTAGCGCTGCGTTTGTGCTGCGAGCGTTCGCGCTGTTGAACACGTCTCAGAAGATGCTACACTACACCTCCCCCCCAAGCGCAATGTGCCACACACGCACGTAAAGCGCGTATGTCACTCGCCAACCGCCGCTCCTCTGTCATGGTCACCTCAGCGCAGCTACAAGGTAAGGGCAAAGATCAAGCAGGCAGTGAGTACGTACGTGAGTATTCGCTTGGCTTTGTTATGTTTGATTTTGAGTGACACATACACTTCTAGTGCATACCTATGAAGCACTCACGCAGGAAATGTTTATTTTCATTAAAGAGGGGAGATGTTATGATATATGACCGCCAGATGTCGCGTCGAGAACAACGTGTGTGTCGCGTCTCGCGTGGTATGCACGCATGGTGTGGAAGCATTCCAGTTATTCAAAAAAGATATCTGCGTTGACTATGCACATGTTTGAGCATCAAACATAACAGGCTTATTCCCTATAAGTCTAGGGCGTAGTGTCCCTTCAGTCTATGGTTGGACTGCATATACAGTCTATAGTATATATATATACCCTATTAATGGGTACATTATGACAAGTGGATCGTCTGAACAGTGGGTCATTAATGATTATATTTTTTGGTGGTGTGTGGTAGCAGGAGCACATCAAATATGTGATTCTGGTGGTAATAAGTACTTTCCGAATTGCATACATTTCATGGTAAAATAGTTGTTTTATTTTTATTTTTTTAAATATTCAGAACCCAACTAAGCCTTTAGTTTTTTTACAGAGCAAAATGATTTGCAAACTTTTAACATTTGTACTCGTGGTTATTAAATCGCGCCAATTCACCAAGGCATTATACCGATAATCTACACATTTCTATATAAACTGAATAGTGCTACTACATATACTCGAATTTACATTGCAATGAAACACATCATCCAACACGTGCAACAATTAGAACATAGATAGATCTACCAAGTATTGATAATATCTTCTGGGTTATCGCATCTCCGATCCTACATGGGCTTCCTCGGTTAACACGCTTAGTGTCGCCTATGTTGGTCTAGCGTGTGCCCTGACAAATTCTATCAGACTCGCACTCAGCCTGTTCTCGTATGCAACGCTGTGTCTGACGATAACGCGCGCGCAGTGGCACCTCAGCGAATGATACTGCGCACTCATTCTGCCGTGTATCTCGTCGCTCGACTCCACGTTGCCGCGGAAACGCGTCGGGTAAATCCGGCGCCAGAGTTTGTATGGCGTCTCTCCCCGTGCGTTCACCACGTCGACGTGGGCGCCGTGGTTGAATAGCAGCGCGTGCACTATCTGCATGCACCCCTCCCTCTGTCGCGCGTAAACATCGTATTCACATGCGAGCATCACCCTACAGAAGCTGTGCAGCGGGGTATCGCCCTTGCTGTCGCGTGTGTTAACCTGTAGAAGTACGCCGGCAGACTCGCACGTCTGTAGGAGAGCTGACGCCGCTTGTACTGCTCGCCCGCACATTCTTCTCTCTTCCACCTCGCTGCCTATTATAGCAAGCGGCGTTCTCTTGTTACAATCGACGAGGTTCGGGTCAGCTCCGTGTTTCAAGAGAAGAGTAATCATCTGTGTGAACGAAGGAAACCAGGATCGTTAACAACCCGATTTTAGGTTCGTTCCTTGAAGAACAAGTTTCTCCAAGCATGCTACCTTCATTACTGTTGCCGATTACTAACTATTACTATTATTAAATTATTAACTATTAAACGATTACTATTACTGATTACATTTATTATCTAGAAAAAAATACATTGGAACATCGCTAAAATTGTCTCCGTCGTCCGCAGTTTCACCTCGGTCCCGAGTAGATTGCAGTAGTGTAATTCGGTGAAACTATAACATATCTATTATTAACTGTTAACCGATTACTATAGCTACGTCTACACGAGGAACCTTAACTCGAGTTAAGCTAACTCGAGTTAAGCGCTAACTCGAGTTAGCTGTTATGTAGCGTCTACACGACAACACCCGATAGCGATTATGTAGCGCCTACACGACAACACCCGATAGCGATTATTACCGATTTATTATGCATGCGTGCGTGCGTGTGTATGTAAACGTGCGTGCGTGTGTGCGTGCATGTGCACGTACACGTGCGTGTGTGCGCGCGTGTGCAGGTACACGTTCGTGCGTGCGTGCATGCGTGTGCACGTAGACGTGCGTGCCTGCGTGCGTGCGTGTGCACGTACACGTGCGTGCATGAGTGTGTGTGTGTGTGCAAGTACGCGTGCGTGCGCGCGTGTGTACGTACATCGTACTAGTGCTGCCGCCTATCGTGGAGGTTAAGCTAACTCGAGTTAAGCGGCTACACGGGCCTTAACTCCAGTTAAAGTAACTCGAGTTAGCCTAACCTCGATCGACTGGCGAGGTTAAGCTAACTCGAGTTAACGTAACTCGAGTTTCCTTAACTCGAGTTAAGGCCCCGTGTAGACGCTTAACTCGAGTTAAGGTTCGTCATGTAGACGTAGCTTATTACTGATTACCTTTACCATTGATAAGAAAATACATTAGGGCATCGCTAAAATTCGGTCTCAATCATTCGCAACGTAGGCCCGTAGTTTTACCTCGGTTTGACGTCGATCACAGGATTCGTGTAACGCGGTGAAACGCCTCCTTTCTTCCATCCTGGCAACGTTGGGGTCGGCACCGGCCTCCAGTAGCAAGCGCATGATGTCAAGCTGGCCAGAGCAAGCCGCGATGAGCAGGGAGGTCTCTCCGTGCGAGTCCGCGGCGTTGGCGTCGGCGCCGTGTGAGAGCAGCATCTGCACCGCCTCCTCCTCGCCCTTCATGACCACCATCATCAGCGGCGTCTGTCCACTCTTCTTCTTGGCGACGTTTGGATCTGCACTGGCCTCCAGTAGCAGGCGCACGATGTCCAGCCTGCGAGAGTAATCCGCGATGAACAGGGATGTATCTCCGTGCGAATCCGCGGCATTGGCGTCGGCGCCGTGTGAAAGCAGCATCCGCACCATCGCCTCCTTGCCCTTACTCACCGCCATCATCAGTGGCGTCTCCCCGGTCTGCGTCTTGGCGACGTTTGGATCAGCACCGGCCTCCAGTAGCCGGCGCATGATGTCCAGCCAGTCAGAGCAAACCGCGTGGTACAGGGAGGTCTCTCCGTGCGAGTCCGCGGCGTTGGCGCCGGCGCCGTGTGAGAGCAGCATCCGCACAGCTGCCTTCCTGCCATCATTCATCGCCTTCATCATGGCGACGTTGGGGTCGGCGCCAGCCTCCAGTAGCAGGCGCATGGTGTTCAGTTGGCCAAAGCGAGCCGCATAGTACAGGGAGGTCTCTCCGTACGAGTCCACTGCGTTGGCGTCGGCGCCGTGTGAGAGCAGCATCTGCACCGCCGCCTCCTCGCCCTCCCACGCCGCCATCATCAGTGGCGTCTCACCGCTCTTATTCTTGGCGACGTTTGGATCTGCACCGGCCTCCAGTAGCAGGCACATGACGTCCAGCCGGACAAAGCAAGCCACGTGGTACAGTGAGGTCTGTCCGTTCGAGTCTGCGGCGTTTGGATCCGCGCCGGCCTCCAGTAGCAGGCGCATGATGTCCAGCTGGCCAAAGCAAGTCGCGTGGTACAGGGAGGTCCGTCCTTGCTGGTCCGCGGCGTTGGCGCCGGCGCCGTGTGAGAGCAGCATCTGCGCCACCGCCTCGTCACCCTTCCTCACCGCCTTCATCATGGTGACGTTTGGATCTGCACCTGCCTCCAGTAGCAGGCGCATGATGTCCAGCTGGCCAGAGCTAGCCGAGTGGTACAGGGTGGTCTGTCCGTGCGAGTCCGCGGCGTTGGCATCGGCTCCGCGTGAGAGCAGCATCCGCGCCACCGCCTCATCGCCCTCCAACACTGCCATCATCAGCGGCGTCTCACCGCTCTTATTCTTGGCGACGTTTGGATCTGCGCCGGCCTTCAGTAGCAAGCGCATGATGTCCAGCTGGCCAGAGAAAGCCGCGTGGTACAGGGAGGTCTGTCCTTGCGAGTCCGCAACGTTGGCGTCGGCGCCGTGGGAGAGCAGCATCTGCGCCGCCGCCACCTTGCCCTCCCTCACCGCCTTTATCATGGCGACGTTGGGGTTGGCGCCGGCCTCCAGTAGCAGACGCATAATGTCCAGCTGGCCAGAGCAAGCCACTTGGTACAGGGAGGTCTGTCCTTGCGAGTCCGCAACGTTGGCGTTGGCACCGTGAGAGAGCAGCATCCGCACCACCGCCTCCTCGCCCTCCCTCACCGCCTTCATCATGGCAACGTTGGGGTCGGCGCCGGCCTCCAGTAGCAGGCGCATGATGTCCAGCTGGCCAAAGCGAGCCGCGTAGTACAGGGAGGTCTCTCCGTGCGAGTCCGCAGCATTGGCGCCGGCGCCATGTGAGAGCAGCATCCGCACCGCCGCCTCATCGCCCTCCAACACCGCCATCATCAGCGGCGTCTCACCGCTCTTATTCTTGGCGACGTTTGGATCTGCACCGGCCTCCAGTAGCAGGCGCATAATGTCCAGCCGGCCAAAGCGAGCCGCGTGGTACAGGGAGGTCTGTCCTTGAGAGTCCGCAACGTTGGCGTCGGCACCATGTGAGAGCAGCATCCGCGCCGCCGCCTCCTTGCCCTCCATCACCGCCTTCTTCTTGGCGACGTTTGGGTCGGCGCCGGCCTCCAGTAGCAGGCGCATGATGTCCAGCTGGCCAGAGCAAGCCGGCGACAGGACCCGCGCGTTCCCGCCGACCACGGCTGCGTGCAGCATCGTTCCGTCGCCACGGTAACGCGCGCGGAGGTTCGCTCCATTGTCTAGCAGCGCGGCTGCAACATCCGCGCTGGCTGTTTCGCAGGCGAGCATGAGAGGCGTTTGCCCGCGCTCATCCTCCTCTTGCAGGGGCGCGTCATGCAGCAGCAGCTGTTTGACAATCTCAATCTTCTCTTCCGTCCTGTCCCGCGAAAGTGCGCAGGCGACGTGGAGAGGCGTCTCCATGCGTATGTTCACGCACGAGGTTTTCGCTCCACCTCGCAGAAGTTCTAACACTTTCTCAACGTCCCCACGTGAACATGCAGCATGCAGGTCTGACATTCTTCTCCCAAATGTAGGCACGCACTGTGCGTCTTTTTGTTGCGTGAGGGTCCAGTGCAGTTCACTTACCTAAAATGCACACTAATGTTCACAAAGGCATGTAAAGTCGATTGCGATGTTAATATAGTGCAAGACAAATCGAAATCAGCTTTGTTCTCCACGTAATCACATTTTCTGTAATGCAGTGTCCAACAGATCGCTGAATAAGGTTATTTTCCTAATATAGGAAGCAAATCGGAAAGGGGGCAAATAAAGTGATTAAGCCTGGAGGATTGCGAAAGTATGGACACATCCACTTGAATATCCCTGGGGACCACCGCTTCTCAATGCTCCACCCGCTTTGCCAAGTGCAACGCGCAACTCGGTAGCTAAACCTGCGCTGAAGCGTAAAGGTGGTAAGACGAAAATTAACCGGATCCGGTTGTTTAGACACTGAACTGTTCTGAATGGAATAGGAGAAAGTGTAAAAAACACTTTGGTTAAAGAACTAGCAAGAAGTGGTGTATCCATATGGAATCTAATTCTGAAGTATTATTCATTTAGTGTAGGTGCTTAGATCTAAGATTAAGTGAGACAGGACAGTCCAGTGGATGGGTAAAGCTAAATAGTAAAGCCTACTAAAGCATAAAGGTGTTTAGTTGGTGTAGGGACACCACATCCACGTGCAGGGTTTTCATTATCTTTTATAGTGACAGGCCGAAATGCTTTTGCAACAGGGCGCGGGGGCGGGGGGTTTGGGTTTTAAATTTTTTTTTTTAACCTAGATGCTCTGAGATGCAATCTGGTGTATTCTGAGCTGCAGTAAACAGACACATTTGGATTACAGTATGGTCCTTTTTTCCAATTTGGTTTCTCCTGGTACATTCAGAGTTCACCAAACGTTTCCAAATTATGACGATTTAGTAATTATAAGAGTTAGACAATTAAGTAAGTAAATAGCGTTACTCAAAAACAAAACAATGCTTCTTGTGCACATAACATGCATACAAATATACTCAACTGATTTATTAATAGTAGCTCATAAAACACTTTCACTTTGGAGAATAATTAGAGCAAACTAAATGCAAATAAATCTTCTTTTTTTTAATATCATACTTGAGCCAATTGTAACCGGCCGAAACAGCAGAGTAGACGGTCAATTCAGCCGGTGGCCGGTTCCTAATGAGAACACTGCTGACGTGTCAGCTAGTTACCACCCAATACTTATTTTAATTTATGTATTAATTTAGACGCTAAAGCCTGCATGGCTAGATAACAGTCTATGCTGCAAGTAAAAATTATAATTAGAGCCGCAGAGCGACAGCGCTCAACTGACGTGTACTGGAGCCGGGTATTCTTCTGAGAAACTCACTGGCAACCGAATCAAGTGCGCGCTCCTGCCACCGCGTTCGCGCTCAGAGCATATATCTAGGATACTACTAATACAGATCTAAAATCTGATAGCCTTTGCTATCCATCCCATCCATAACGATGTAGCAAACACTCACACTACTGTGTAGCAAATCTCCCATATTCACAGATGACTTGCAAGGCGGTCATATTTGAATAATTTATGTTACTAAGTGATAATATTCTACGAATGAAATTATATATCATTGCAGGGTTTCTTCTGAGGGAAAATTAGACTACGGCGGTAACTGCCAGTTTGAGGGAAAACGCACATGGTGGATTCAAATGCATGCAGTAGGCACGAATGTGGATTCTGCAGGCAGATGCGGGAAGGAGAGGTAGAGGGGGGTTCTGGGGGTGTCCCCCAGGAAACCCCACGAATTTTCAGAGGGGGGACATCATATCAAATGTCCCCCCCCCATGATTTTGTGTGTAAGTGTGTGTGTGTGTGTTTGTGAAGTGAGAACCTTTTTATATTGTGTGATAGTGCGTCAACGATTGGCTTCTTTCCCTTTTTGCCAGCTTTCATTTCATTCAAGTGCATTTGAGAGCATAATATAATGATCATGCACAACTTGTGTCTTGATAAATTTAGTACCGTTTCTTTTTTAACACGTTTTTTTTCTTATATTAAATAATTCTTATGCAGAAATCATCAAGAGAAAGTATGTTTATGAAAGTTTAAGAGATATCACTCACATTAGACACTGATTCAAGGATTAAGCTGGGAACACGAGCTATATTCACGCAAAGAGGACACCGAGTAACTGAGCATCGGTTTTAATAATGTAATTTTCATTGCAAATTGATGATATATATACACGCATATATGATATGACTGGACCAACAATAATAACGGACCAATTTATTTTGTGATCAGCCTCAACACCAAATGATTGGTTTTCTGCTTTTTGTTTTCTTGATTTTATCACTGCATGTGAACACCCTTTTCGTAATCTTATCACAAACCAAATGCATGTGTGTGCATGTGTGTGTCTCTGTGTGCAGGGGCGTGTACAGGGGGGGGGTATGAGTTACGCGTAGTAAATCGAAGGTATTATAAGGCTAGTGAATGACGAATTTCCCTTGTTTATTGATGTCACACTCCTTCCCTATTATCTACTCCTGATATATATATATATATATATATATATATATACTCTAGGACTACTTGATACTTTTGATACTGTAGGAGCGAGATTTTGAACCTCGTGACTGAAAGACTCGAAGACTCAAGTGAAGTGACTCATAACGCACTACGGATCTCTCTCGCTCTCTTCTCGATGTACGAGGAACTAGTTCAAATAGTGATATTGTTGAACAAAATCAATGAACAAATACTGAATTGGCAACTACTATTTCCAATTCCTGCTTCCAGAACCGAATGAACATTCGCAGTGCGATTATACAATTTATTATAACGGTTAATATGTCTATGTATGCGTGTACGTGTACGCATATTAGTTCAATTCAAATTGTACAGTGCTCACTCCTCCATGCTCTGATAACTTTCTAGTAGTAACTATGAGTCAAAATCTAAGACGACTAACACCCAAGAACCACCACAACTCACGGACAAACTAGTACAACACAAGTAGCGAATCTCACCATGATTGAAGTGTTTAGAATTCTCGGGAACTTATAGCTGTGGGGTGATGATGGTGGCTGTTGCAGCGATCAGTATATAGAGAGGATGTGTGCAACGATGAGTCCTCGGTAAATGTCAGGGAATGGTTGCTCCTTGCTAACCGCTTTATATAGGTGCGAGGGTCCACGCTGCCATACGCTTGCACTGTGCAAATAGGAACGACGGAGGGCTGTGTGCTGTTTATCAATTCTGCGTCTGGCACGCCCCACGTTCAAAGTTCTCAATTGCTGCGGACGTTTAAACGTACCCGCGTGCGCGATTTATCTAGTGAGTCCGACGATGAGCAAGAGTGAAATGTTGCGAATAAATCTGTTCGCGTAGGAATATTATATTATAGGAACGAGCGCGTTATTGAGCAAGTGAAGGTCATTATATACCTCCGCCAAGGAGGTTATGTTTTCGCCCCTGTTCGTTTGTTACATCCGCTAAGGAGGTTATGTTTTCGTCCCTGTTAGTTTGTTACCTCTGCCAAGGAGGTTAAGTTTTCGCCCCTGATCGTTTGTTACCTCCGTC